GTTCTGTTCATTTCCCATATAACAAACATAGTCCAAAAAGCATTTGCTGGAGATGGTGGGGGGAGAAAAGAGGAGGTGGAAGATGTTTTGTTTGTGTTCCATCTGTGAGGACTGCAGAAAAGGAAAATAGTCACAGTGGCTACACAGCACTAATTATATCTTCAGGGTTGCTGGTAGCACGCCAGAATCAAGTCGTGCAGTGTGAAATGTTACTGGGGAATTGTGATTTTTAGCAGCATAAACTCTGCCAATCTGAACAGAGTGCTGTGAGATCAGCAGAAGACCCTCCCTGCCTGGCTATTATTCTGATTTAAGCCTGAGGGAGTGGGAAAAGAATCGGAGCTTAGGCTTTATCTCTACTAGGAATTCACAGTTGTGGAGTTAAAGTAGCTACAGCCCTGGGCTGGTGCAGGTAGAGGGAAGGTGTCTGTGTTTAGGGCACTAATGGTTGTAAGAGAAAGTGCTAATTTGCTTTCCCTGTCTCTTCTCCTTGCTTATGTGTCTAGAGGGTATCAGAGGTTGGAATGCTCTTAATTCATATCTTCTGGAGCTGTTTCACTCTGCAGGGTGGAAGAGTTGAGGAAGGAAAGCTGTGCTGGCCTCCTCCACGGAGGATAGAGCCCATTCTCTGTAGCTGTGTTCCTGAGGGACAGCACTGGCATGGCTCTGCTTTCATTAATGCCTATTTCTTGGGTACGTTTTGGGTGCCTACATGGGATTTTGGGTGCACTCTTCTAGCCTGACAGCTGCGTTTAGATGTGTTGGAGAGAAATTTTATTTTTTTTGTATAGCTTGGGAATTTTACAGTAGGTGATTACATGTTAGTAAAGATTCTGGGTATAGCTGCTAGACAGAGATCTAATTTCTCTTTCTTTGTAGGCTTAGCCCAGTGCATTCAGAGCAGGCTTCTTATAAACTCTTCATTCTGTGTCCAATTGCACTTAAATGAACTTAGAATTAAGAAGAGCTTTCTTTATTTTTTTTTTTTTTTTGTCTGGGAAGTTCTGCTCTTCACAGCACAGTCCTCTAAAACATATGTTCCTTCATAAACCAAAGCAAAAAGTCTCTTGCATAATACATGATTTACTAACACTGTTGGTTAATAGTAAGTATTTTTGTTCCTTTTTTTGTCAGGCTTTTTAGTGTTCAGAACAGTGTAGCCACCGTAATAAGCCAAAACTACACACATGGGAAAAAGATGCAAGAAACACAATAGATTACATCACCTGGCAAGACTTTGGCTTTTTTTTTTTCTGCATTCATTTCTAACCAGTGGTGAGTAAACCAGTGTCCACAGCTCTGTCCTCAGGTTGGCAACCTCAGTTTCTGCCTCAGCGAGTACTTCAGGCTGCTCCAAACCCAGCAAGCTTACTACAGGGAGCAGCTCTACCCTCCATGACCTGCTTTGCTGTCCTGTTGTACCAGTACAGGCATCTCTGTGGCTCTTTAATGAGCTGGGTATGGGGACTCATCAGGCTAGAGGAAAAAAAACCCGTTTAATATCCTAGTTGTGATTTCTGGTCAGCTCAGCTCAGTAGGCATCCCTGCAGAGAGCTGTGGTGAAGGCAGGAGCAGATGACTGCTGCTGGGAAGGTAGGCCAGTCCAGGACTGCTCTTGGCACTGGTGCTTGCTTGTCTTGGGTTAAGGTGTACCTTAGCAGCACTCTGTGCGTGGCTGGACGTTGAGTGTTGTGTTTCATCTGATTGGAGCTGGCACTGGAAGGGCAGATCCTGCTCCAGTGCTGTTCCCTCCTGCCCTGCTCTCGGGGGGACGTGGCTGCAGGGAGAGGTCAGTGTGCCAGCTGATAAATGCTTCTCTTTCCTCTTGGGTCTCACCTTTGATCTGGTGAGCTGATTCTGCTCACCCAGTGATGGTGTGATCTCTGGGTGTGCGGTCAGGCTGGGAGCTGGCTGAGGGTGAGGAAGGGGTTGTCATTTTGGTAGCAGCCTATGTTCCCTGCTGGTGAAGGGAAAAGGAAACCACACTCAGTTCAGTCACTGGAGCCACAGCCCACTGGCTGGCTCATCTGTAAAAACCCTACCAGAGATTGAAGACTTCCAAAACGAGTGATGCTTGTTTGTTTAATTTTAAATAACTGTGCAGATACAGATTTTCTCCCTGTAGTGTTCCACACTGTACACAGCACATCTGTAAACGTGTAGAATAGGTGTAAGTGTTCCTGGCACAATCTTCTCACGTGTACTGCTGCTGGGTTCAGATCTTCCTTTGAATTCAGTTTTAATTAACATAAGGACAAAACCTAGATGGTTCTGAGGAATTAGTGTTGATGCTTACCCATTAAAAATTGAAACAGAAGCAGAACCAGGCAGATGAATGCACTGCACCACATCTCTGACACTGGGAGCAGGAAGTGATGTGAGTGTTGTCATTTTGTGCTGCTGCAAAGACTAAAACCCACAGTAGTTGTCTCTTCCTTTTTTTGGGAGCCACTTGCTGTGTGGGTGGTCACTGGTGATCCTGGTTAGCTCTGCTAGTTCCTCATTCCTCACAGTTGATAGAACTAGGTGCTCCAGAAGTTTACTAGTGTAGCATCAGGCTGGATACAGCTCCGCTGGTTCCCGTGTGCTTTCCTCATGGAATGTTGGGTTGGTAGCTCTGAGCCACCAGAAAGCTGCCAGAGCTTTTCTGCTGCTTCAGTTATTGCTGTGTTGGTGAAGTGAGTGGTGCTTTTGAGTAACCCTTTTTGTTTGGTTAGGATTTTTAGGTTTTGTTTTGTTATCCTCCTATTCCGTGGCTTTTGTGACTTGTCTATATGTCATAATCCATTAGGAACATATGGTTATTTAACCTTTTTTCCAGGGTGGCCCATACTGGCACTAATCTTCATTGTTCTGTGATTCTTAGTCATATTCATTGTACAATGTCAGAAACTCTACACGTTCCTTGTCCAAGCTCTAGGTAGAGGCCTGTGTAGAAGAGACATAGATGTTTTAGAGAAGCATGTGTCAGTGCTTTCTCCTAGAGTAGTGTGTGAGATATTCCAGTGCTAAACAGCACCCTCCTGGGAAAAAATATTTTTTTGTCCACCCCTCTTGCCCCTTCCTCTTGTTCTGCCGTGCCAGCCTCTGTCCCAAGAGCATGGGGTGTGTGCTGTACCTCAGCCAGTCTTGCGCTGGCTTTTCCTTATTTGCTTTTCCATCATTCCCCAGTGCTCTGAGCGGATGAGCAGCGTTTGTCTGAGCGCAAAAGCAGCAGTATGGGCTGCAGAAGGTCTTCACCAAGTGTTGATTGCTTCTGTAGCTGGTATGATGAACATCAGCTTTATCTCCTCAGCAGTTAACTGGCTAGCTCTTGAACCAGTAACAGCCTATGTCCAGTTACTGTGGTGAAAGAGTAAATTTTAACTTTTAAAATGAACTAAGTTTGTGGAGTTGAAAAGTCACACACAGAAGGATCTCCCATCTAGTGTGGGTTTTGGAGTGTGTGTGGGTAGGTTAAATGTCCCTGTGCAGGTGATGAAAATGGGAGGAATATGTGATTTGCAAGTCTTTTTTCTTTAGGAGTAAAAATTCATCATTTTTCGTGCTGATATTTTCTGTATGTACTTCCCAGGGAACATAAAGGACAATTTACTGCTCAGATAGATTTTAATACTTGGGGAGATGTGGGGTGGGCATTCCTACAGCTGGTATAGCTCCTGTGTCCACTGCTGTGCCTCTGCCCTTCTGCCTGGTGATGACTTTTCCTGTCAGAGGTGTAAATGCTGTATTTGAGTTTTTGCAGCTTCTTGCTGTAGCCCAGCTGGCTTTTCCTGCAGGGCCACTTCACAGCCAAGCACACGGGCTATTTCTGAGCAGCAAAGTGAAGGTGTGAGTGCTGTGAAGTGAAGCAGAGGTAGTAACAGCAGTGAGAATGTGGCAACGTGGGTTAGAAACCAGAATACAAGCCCACTGAGAACACAGAGTATGCACATAGCACTTTATTTGGTGATGATGCTCAGACTAGCTAGACTGAAGGTCACAGGAGTGTTCCCCTCTGTGTCCTGGGCAGGGTCCCAGGGCCAGTGGAGGGTGGAGGGAAAGGAGGACACAGGAACAGTCATGGGGCAAACTGGGAGCGCAGGAAAATCGGGAGGGGAAACCAGGCAGCAGGCTGGGGAGGGCAGAGGAAGAGTGTGATGGGCAGGGTAATAGAAGTAGATAAAATGGTAGAAATCCAGACTCTTCAGGATGGGAGGAACAAAATGTGACAGCTGTCTGCTATTAAAAGTGAAAAGAGAATTTGAACCATTGCTCTTCTGACCTGGTTCTAGCTGCCAGCTCTTGCCTGGTTTCGTGACTTGGTCAGCCTTTTCCCTGGCAATTGCTTATTCACACTGCTGTGCAGTGGGACACCTACACTCCTCCAGATTTTTACATCATTTAGAGGGAAAAATCCTACCCAGATGTCTGAGTAGCCATTTTCCCGTTCTTTTTATTCTTTCTTGGTAGTTAATAAGACAGTTTTGTCTGATTGAGAGACAGTAAACAGCAACTGTCCTTAATATGCTTTTGTTCATTTGAGCAAAATAAAAATTAAATAAACGTGGAGTAAACCTGTAAGATCACAAGAAGAAACTATTTTGCTGTTTCCACTAGTCACTTGTGAGCAACTTTTGGACTGACTCTGAAATCACTTGGCCACCAAGTAGCATGTAGGGA